AATCTGTCTGTCCTGCATGGACTTCATATCTTTGATTTATCCTTCGTTATTCCTGAGAGTAACCATCTCCTAAAATTTATTTATTTTCAGAGAGAAAAATTGCCTGATTTAAAATTGAATTTTAAGCTAAAGTTAAGGTAGAGAACTCTGACAGAGGTCCTCAAATCAAATGGGAAAATCTATGGATTTCTAAATTACTTCTGTATCTTTATATTAATATTGTCTTTAAATTAAAGGAAAAAGAAAAGTCCATGCTCATAGATTGTCGCACTCACTGAGCAACCTACTGTAATTCCAAAGTTTGCCTCACTCAGAGCGGGGGCTGGGACCTAATAACCTTGGGAAAGGCCCTAGGTTCTTACCAACTCACATTAATCTATGACTTTGAAACAAAGTTTGCTTTTATCCTTTATGGAAAATATCATCTTTTAAAAAAAAAGCAGCTTCTTAGATCAGAATCAGATGTCATGGATTTCTGTCCAGTGTGCACTGAGAGTGGAATGCAGAGTAATTGGTGTTCTTAGACTTCATTGATGGGAAATGGTTTATTGTATAAGGAAATAGTTATAAATGAAATATGAATTAATTTTAAAAACACACTGCTGTATTTTCTCTGGAAATTATTCTATTGAAATGGCCAGTAAATAATTTAGTCCACTCATCCCATCTTCATAAGTGTACTTCATACTTTTTTAATTTTTCTGAGCCTCTGATTTTTGTGGTTTGGGGTTTTTTTGAGCCTGTGATCACTGTCATCTCCACTAGATGGACCTCATGAGATGGTAAAGATTTTTTTTTTACTGGTCTCATTGAATTTTATCTGTGTATGAAACAGTATTTTTCTCAAACTTAAAGAAGTGCACTGCAAGGCTCAAATCTTTTTCGTACAGTGAGTGCATATTGGAAAAATAATGCAACTGCTAGTTTTAGTGAGAACTCATTATAAAATAGAAATATGAAATTTTTCTGTCCACCTATTAGTCCTAATCCCACCCCATTAACTGCTAAAAACTTTGAGCAGGTACAATCAAATTTAACAAATGCAAAAATGTGAAGCATATCACAGGGGAGTGCTCGCAAAGGCAAAGTTCAGTGTAGGGACATTGCATTATTTTTTATCTTTTTTTCAGTTTGTGGTAAACCCCAGCGGTCATTCAAAGCAGGCACCTAAATGAAGTGATAGGAGTTGTGCACTGCAGGCCTGTTGTGGTTTTTTTTTTTTAAATTTTGGGAAGAAGCAGCACAAGGAGAACAGCATCCCTAAGGTAAACATGCCTTCAGCGGATGCCATCCTAAGTTCCAGCAGTACCTGAGCAAAACCCGTGGCCCAGTGAAAGCATGCAGGCTCCAAATAACTTCATGGACTTGCCCCCAGTGGGCTGGCAGTAGCCAGCTGACCGTGGTGGTGTGTGACTCTAAGTAGTCACAACTGTCTGTCTCTTACCAGAGCGAAGCGGAGGAGAGGCGGAAGGACAGCTGTGGTCCCGGGAAGGACGCGGAGCACAGTGCTGCGTGGCTGCGAGATGGTTAAGTCATGCGAGTAAAACAGCTAATAGGCGTTGCTTGACATTTAAAAAGCTGCTCTAAGTTACCCTTAAAATATTTTTGTTTATTGTATTTTTCAACATCATTTTCATATGTTTTATACAATATTTTTATTACCAGTGAAAGCATGCTTCACTACTAAATAGGAGTGTTACTTTCATGGATCATTAGCCAAGTTTGCAGGTAACAGTGGGTCATCTACTGTTCTCAAACTAGAAATGGTTCTTCTGCTGAAGACACTTTGCACTCCTTTCTCTTTACCCTTTTTGTATACTACACCTGGACTACCATTATATTCTTGTTTAGACTTAATAGTATTTTATTAATAATAAAATTAAAATGATTGATAAATATAATTAGCCATATGTTAAAAGGCTAGTTATAATGTTACATGTTTCTGTGGGAAGCCAGCATGTTATAAAATAGAAAAAAAATATTTGGATCAAGTAATTGGGCAATTCAAGTCTTCAAGTGGTAGTCACTTAAGTCAAACATTAGAGAGTTGTATAAAATTACAGCTAGCCACAACTCTTAATTTCTTCACTGAAATATATTTTAAGTGTTGGGCTGCATGTTCTCACCTTCCATCTTCAATGGTAGTTCACCTGAAGAATAGCACCGAAATCCTCGTGTTATTTCGTCCCCACACTGAGCAGCTGAGGAGGATCCAAAGTTGGTCCGTCCGCAGTTTGCAGTGATTCCGCTCACCATCTCGCAGCAATTGAGTAGAAGCCTGCACAAACAAGTTTACGTTCCGTATTTTCTGTATTATTTTCACGCTTCATGGAGACCATCTCAATGGAGCTGCAAGATCGAGAGCGCCTCTTTCAAGTTTTTGGCATTGAACAACTTCCTAAAAGGGGAGCGGTTAAGATCCCGGCAGAGAAATTTTTGTCGTGCGAGCGTATGTGCCATTTTGTTGCTGTCTCATCAGGTATGCTTCCCAGCTATCAGTGTTGGGTTTTTTTTCCTAAGTTTTCCCTTTTAGTAGTGTTTTGAGTAGAATTGTCAGATGCTTCTAGATGTCAAGCATTATTAGAATGTCTGGCTTTACGCTTTTCTCAACCAGTTTTATTTGCTTTGTTATTAGCATTTAGTAACTTTCCTTCTTGTTGTCAAGAAAGCATTAAAATAATTTGTTTGCTAAACATCAAAAGTACATTGTTACATTTCTATCTATGGTTGTCCAGTTTAGTGATTTTGAAAGAGAACAACAGTGAACTTGATTGTCCTTTAGAGGGCCAGAAGGTCAACCAGTGTGGAATGACAATCATGTTATACTGGTTAGGATCTGGTCCAAAACATGGATATTCCACAAGATGGAAAACCTTAGTTAAGATCATCCTTTTGAAGACTCTATGTTGATAAAGCAGCAGTGTGATCTGCTGCATAATAATTGTAATCTCTTCCCTTCCCAACTGTCCCTGGGAAAAAAAGAGCTTTAGGAAACATGTTCATTTCCTGCAATAAGTAGTCGTTTAATTAAAGAACAAAAGTAACAGGAATCAAAAATGCTTGCAGCTGTGATTCTGTTAGACATTATATAAAAAAGAATGAAATTATAATACATTAAATTAGTTTTTAGAACATGAACTTAAGTGTTTTACAAACTATCTGTGGTAAGTTCAAAATGTCTTGTCAACATAATACTGAATGACAGTGTGTCATGTCCGTTTATGTCAGAGGCCTTGGAATGGTAAAGCCTGTACATGCACAACATCTCCTTTTCCAAGAGAGACTGCCAAACAGTTTAAAACACGTGTGAAAGGAGAGTAGCAGGTTCTTTCAAGTAGCTTTACTCCAGCCTTTTTCAGCAGATCGCCCCGCTCCACAGGCCATCGCTCCTCTGACTTCAGAGCGAAGTACGTCTCCGGTGTTCCTTCCTGTCCGTAAGTGCTGCAGAGACTTCACCTGCGAGTCCTTCTTTCACATAAACATCCAGGTATCCCGGACTGAACTTTAGGGAAAAATATGTTCCCTGATGCGTGTTCAGCAGCAATATCAAAAAGTAGAGAGAGATTCTTCTCAGAAGAAAATTTCTATGGCCTGTGAAATCTAGGAGAAATAAGAGACCTTTCTCAAACCACTTTGAGATTACAAAAAAAAAAAATACAATTTTTTAAAATTCTATGTTAGAGTAACAAAAAAGTGTGCTTTTTTAAAAAAAAAACAGCATGTTTTCTGTTTAAAGGTACAGTAACAGCATTGAAGAATATTAGCAACTTTCAAGTCTTAATTTTCATCAACACATTTCCACACATACACCATGACCATAGTGCACTTAGGGTCCTTGGAGCCCCGTCTAACCAGTTTACACATTATTGGGGAATGCAAGTGCAAATATAGGTGTTGGGTTGATTTTGGGGTTTATTTTTCTTTTAGGAATTAAGCCACAGTTTGTCATTGGTAGGAATATTCTTTATTGGGCAGTGATGTTGTTATTTTGTAAGAGTTAAGCAACATTGAGCTGATGCTTCGGAAAATATGAGGACATACTGGTGGTTTAATGTATGATAGTCTTAAGAGTCTGTCTGGAATAAATATACTCTTGCTCTGTAGGCTTGTTCTTTGGGCTGAGATAAGTAATTCTCAATTGTTTGTAATGCCTTAGGACTAATTGTAAATTGTAAGGCTGTTTACTCCTAATATCCTGAACAAATTAAAAAATACGTCATTATAATCTACTTAAACTCTCCAGGTCGCTGCAATTAGAGAAGGTGCATCTCACTTTCAGACTTAAACTGCAATCATCTCTTTTTGTTGTCCCGCTGTGTTTCATTCTGTCAGCGCAGTGATGTCTTGTTACAAACATTGAGGCTGAGTCCTGTCATGTTAAACAGGCCCTAACAATTGCATAAACAGTTTAGAATTACATAAATACAGCATTTAGATCGATGTACATTGCATTTATGACTCAAGTCTATTTGCATAGACCATCTTTTCATTGAACATCCAAAGCTCAGTTAAGCTGGAATTCATTCCAAGTTCTGAAATAAGCACGGAAATGTGAGCCCAGGCACTGCTGGAGTGAGCCTTCCAGAGTGTGAGACTGCACAGCGAGCTCCTTAGTGCAGCGTTGGGCGACTCGTTTTAGCAGCCAGCACACCTGAGATCGCGTACAGACATGGCAGGAGCACACTGTGCTGCCAGCTCCTCCTGGAATTGTGTTTTAAGTGCAGTTGGACTTGCTCAAGAGACCTAATGGAAATTGTAGGAAACAACTGATTGCTATTTCAATTTTTCTCTAACTAACAAGGTCTTTCTGCAAGTAACAACGGCTGTGGAGTCAGCCTCTCATTTCTTCCGACGTAGAAAAAGGAAATGAATGTTCTTACGCATGTTCCAACATAGTACTTGTCATCAGTGCTGGCACACGAAGCAAGCACTAGATTGACCAGGTTCACACTGGCCCAACCACTCAGAGAGGCACAGAGTCCAGACCAGTTCTCTCTGCTGGACTGCCATTAATTGTGCTTTGGAGTGCTGCGCTCCTTCCAATGGCAACTAGACCAACATCCGAGGGAGGCACACCGCAATCTACAGGCTGAATCCATCAGAACAAACGCATTTCTTGTGGGCATCGTGTATGTCTTGTTATGGTATTAGAATTCTGTATTTTTTAGCAGGGAAGCTGCAATGCTTGTGATAATACGGTTCCACACTCAAGTACACTTAAATCAAAAACCTCTCTACAGTGTATTAAGTTGTTAGTCTACTTTAAATTTTTTTTTTTCTATGTTATATCCTATATTTAATTTTTTGTCACAGCTTTTGAATCTTCAGTACAAAGAATACAAGCTGAGTGATGTTCTGGAGAACATCTGGGGGCTTCTCAGCACATGCCAATTAAAGAAAAAAGAAATAAAAATCAGAAAAGCCAGGTTCTGAACTGGAAGATAAATGCCTCCCTTGTCTTTTAAAATAAAGCTTCCTTTGCATATTCTCCCACATTCAGCATCTAAGAGCAAAATCTACAGACTGAGGACTAAGGCAAACTGGTTTTAGCAGGCAATGGAAATAAATAGCCGGAAAACTGACCTTGTCAAGTGTTTGCTTGATGCATGTACCTCCATTTCATTACTTTTGTATTCATTTAGCTCTTTCCGAATGGCTGCCTAGGAATTGAAAATAGAACAACATTAACAAATACCTTTGTATTTATAAGCATGATAAAATACCTGACTTGCCAAGCAGAACAGGAGTTTTCGGAAGTAGAAATAGCAGATATGGGTACAGCAAAGCATACTATGCCAGTGGAGATGCTGAATATCCAGGTTATATGACTGGTGATATGACGCTTCTTACTGTTCATTACTGGTTGCTGACAGGGTCACTTCTGTCTAGAAGCAGTTCTGACAGGAGAATAAAACCACAGTGCTTGTTGTCTCACATTTAACAAGATGCCAGTTAAAATTTATTAAAGATTGAGAGAAGTTGCCAAGAAATTGATCAGCTGGCCAATGGGCTTTTATGGAATTCCAGTGTGTGTCATTTTTAACCAAAAAATCAGACTGTTTGCCTTATCACAACTTGCAAATACCAGTCCAGACTGTGTTGTCACCTGTATCCATAGGATTGCACAGTCATAAGTGAAGAAAAATAGTCTCTTTTGGTGCTTAATATAACTAAATTTAAGACTATAAAAGCGAGAGCATTCTTTTGTTAAAATGTCAACTGCGAGTGAACTGGAAAGTGCTGGTGCTTTCATAGATTCTTATACATTTAGTGTGTCGTATTTTCACTACTTAAAATGATGAAGCTTGTACCCCTGTTCATGTTTTATATCAGAGATTTGGCTTATTAAAAGGAAAATGAGGAAAAATAATGTATTTGTCTACTCTGAAAGAGAAGCTTTTCAGTCACAAATGCAATGGTCAAATTCCTGATGTAAGCCACCAGTATATGCAATTCAACTTTGTCACTTTCTTTTTGGCTTATAAACCTGCCCGGTTAACAATATAAAACCAGTAAAACTAGGAAAAGCCTAATTTCAGTACATAGCCAGCACACACAAGGAAAATACAAAATCATTATTCCGTTGATTAATGTGTAATAACCTAGTCACCACTTCAGTGAGCTCAGGAGAACAGCTACTGTAGTAGTACCGTTCCTTTTCTCTGAGTCCTCTGAAACCATTTGCTGCATGTTTTACTGGGGAGACACTGGAATGGAGAATGAAGTGTTTGATCTCCACACCTCAGAACAAAGCAGTAAGTAACGGTCCTATATTTCCCATTTTGCCCAGTAATTATCTCAGCATCCCTACTTGTTCTGCGAGCTGCAGCTCTGAAAATGCAAAACTTATTCAGCAACTGTTCTATGTGGAATCGTGCTGAATCACTTTTCTTACTACTCAAGTACCCAAACGTGAGAGTTAAATTAGGATGTAAATCAGCTATGTGGCAAGTATGTGATGGAACAAAATGAGTATTTGTTTATGCTTGTGAAAATGTGGGATTAAGTGGCTATTTGAGCCTTCACAGGAAACGGGAAAGTAAATATTTGCATGTTTGCAAACATAGCAGAGGATTTTTGCATGTTTGGGACAAGAGTTCCACTCTGAGGATAAATTTTAATAGTGCATTGGCTGGAAATGTTTTTGAGTTGCAGCCTTAAAGCACTAAGAAAGATCGTGTCTACTTTTTTTTTTTGTCCTATCAGTTTTTGGTCTGAGTAGAAGCCTTTATAGTACTAAACCGGCATTTTTATAAACAGCTTTTTTTATGACAGCATGCATTGGTCAGTGTGGTTTCAGCATAAAACATAATAGTAACATTTACAGAGATGAAATGTCTTTGCAGGATCTGATGTAACGGTTTGGAGGAAGCAGTTATATGTCATTTTAATTGTGCCAGTACCTTATCTGCTGCTGATAGTCTTGTCCACGGTTTATCTGCTCGCCTGTCGTAGTCCTGCGCTTTTGCCACTTCCACGTAATCACTGAACCGAATCAGGATTTTTCTGTCTCTTAGTTCATCAACTGTAGGTCTCTGGTTAAGCTGGATTAAATAGTTTTGTAAAATAAAACCAGTGTTAATAACAAACACATCAATATAATGTGCAACGTTTTCTGCTTCCCATCTTAGCCTAGTGTGCATTTATGTATCTGGAAAAAACTCCAACCCTTGGAAACTCCAGGAAAGTAATCCTCCAGAGGATTGTTAGGAGGATAATAAGGTATGAAGAGAGTTGTGGGCTACAGCACAGTAGCTTTATAATGGACAAAAGAGGAAAATGTTTTAACCTGGATATTGATAAAATGCAACATGTAAAGGAATCATGATTTATTACGACCCATGTGCAATATCATATGCTGCAGGGGCTTTCTGCTACAGCCAGTGGCAGGCTGTCTGTGTCAGGGTTTCACGACTGGACCTGTTGTAAGAATTTCAATTTGGCTTTAACAAGTTACCAGTATATTTGGCTTCTAAATCCAGTAGGGATTCCTAGGAACAGAACAATAACAGATCTAGTCCTGATTCTGAGAATACTTTAAATGGAAAGGTAAATTTATTGTGAGAGCACACCTGGTGCTCAGCAGGGAGTCAGCTCTGCTACTGATTGCTACCGAGAACGAAGTAGTCTTTTTCTAGCAATAGAGCTGCAAAGTACACAGTGTGCAAGCGAGTACACATTTTCTGATTTAAAGTTTGTATGTAAATATTTTACTGAGTCTCATGTAGCTGAGATAAGGTAGATATTTTTATAATTCCCATTACTAGATACCACTATCTCAGACACTGCAGAGGAGGATGGATATTAAGAGAAATTCTGCGTAACAATGACCTCTCTGGCTGGTTGATGTTACATTGGCTTTGCTAAGATTCTGAAAACTAATAGAAGGATTGCAAGATTTTACCTTTCTTGTCAGTCTCTGTTTGATTTCCCTTCTTTCCTCCTGTTCTGTTTGATCATTTCGTTCTGCAAAGAATATATAAAAAAAGATTACTTTCCTCATGAGGAGTCTTGGTATTTTCCAGTTTCAGGCAATAAAAATGAGAGCACAGAAGAATCAGTAGCAGGTTCTTAGTTGTAGGTTTTGTTAGCTCAGTACATCTCTCTGCTTCTCTCTTAGAACAGTTACCTCTCCGTAAGGACAAGGTACTGGTGCCAATGTCAGCTTTTCCTGTGCTCTAAATTCCAGCTCCAAGGAGATTTAATGAAACAACAGCAGCCACACCAACTTTCCAATTGTATAAACTTTAGAAGGAAAATCCAAATATTCCACAGTTGATGGTCATTTTTTATTCTCCATATTGCTGGAGCCATTCATTGCCGTTAGATGCTGAAAAGACTTATTGCAGCAGCTCCAGGGAAAGTATGTTCTTTCCTACATAACCCCACTCTCAGGCTACATCTTTAGCTGGTCACGCTGCCCAGTAGTTCTCTTTGACTGGCATGCTTTTCCTCTCTGCGATTCAGCACATGCCACTGACATTAGACCCTCTTCACCCTCATGGGGTTTGCTTTTGCAGCGTTCCATCCCAACCCGAGCCAGCTCTTCTGTGTGTTGTGCCTATTAACATTCAGGCCGTGATAACTCCTACACACTGGCTCTAAAAATAGAGCAGAGTGCTGTGACACTGTGTGAAATACATCCTTTGCCTCGGGGAACGAAGGAATGGCGTTTCTATTCTTAGCACTATCTGTTACTAAATTAAGGCATAAGCCTATGACCCGAACAAAGCCGAAGATCTAGAGAAAAATATTTAACCATTCTGGGAGTCTCCAGATACTACCGTGACGTTTATTACACCACTCGTATTAGGCATTTCCAGTGTTAAAGCACACACGTGATTTTTAATATGCCTTGAAAGAACACTAGCACTGCAGATGAGTTTCCAGAATGGTATTTTTAGAAATGAAGTATTCTCCCTTATTTTTACGCTCACTAGATTACGCTGAAATGCGATCCTAAGTATCGATTTAAAATAACATGGTAGTGCATAGCCACAACTGGCTATAGTAGAAATGCAAATCAAATGATCTAAAATGCTCTAATGGGCTATCTTACAGTTTGGTGGTAAGGCACACAAATTCAAAAGAGAATAGGCCAGCTAAAACCAGTGCTTTGGCAGGGAGGAGCAGCTATTTAAGGCTGCGATATTTAAAAAGAGAACAGGCTTTAAAACACAGGGAGCATCCTGAGATTGAGATACCTGCCAGAAGTTACTGATGTGCTTCATTCAGTTTTAATCCAGCCTTTGTAGAGTAGATATTTCTATCTGTATATTTTTATTAAAAGAAGGGAATTTTCTGTAGTATAGTGCCTTTTAAGATGTGACTGTGATGTGGACTGAGAGAATTCCTAAAGAAAAACCACAAATATTCATTTCTGATCAGAAAATGCGTTTTCCAAATACTAAAAAAGTATAGTGAAAGAAATACAAGAAACAGTTCTTTTAGAAAAAAATAAAATGAGATTTGGTAGGAAATGCTAGTAAGGGCATTACAAAACTCAAGCGTTATTTCCAAGACAAACCAGAGAGGTTTTCCCATAAATATCACTCTGCCCACACTTAGATCCATTCATTAGTGAGGGCTGGTTTCATAAATCTCAGTAGAGAGACGCTCCCAATTAGGAAGGGGCACGTGCAGCACTGGAATTCATTTTGCTGCTCCGTGAATTACTCAGGGGACTCTTAGCTGCGCGTGACCCTAAACCAATTCCCGGTGTTAAGAGCGAAGAGAGGATTTTATGGTGTGATTTAAGAGATGCTGCCTTCTTGAATGTGGATGTCAGCTTTCTGTTGAATACAGGAAGAACATGTGAACACCTGGCTCGTGATTTCAGTTCATATGCTTTCCATGCTTCGTGGCAAACCAGCAGTGTTTCTATAGTTAAAGGACTTGGAAGATCAACAAAATTGTAAGAAAATATGTTTGCTTTTTAAGTACTGCTTTCATCTCAGAAACATCCCTAAGAGAGATAAGAAGTCACTTTTTTTAATCTTAGTGAGATTTGTTTTGAAATAACACAGTAGTTGCACTTAGGCACTTGCAGTCTGCTCCTTATTTTGATGAGGTTGAGGAAATGTGAATTATTAGTGTTTAACACAGCTTTGGGGGTAGCACTGTTCCGTTAGCAGTGTAAGTTATGAACATCAAGGATGTAAGGAAACTCACGGCGCAGCTGTGCAAACCCTTACAACCCGGAGGAGGCTGTAGTGATTTCACTGGAAGGGCATTTATACTGCTACAGCTTTGCACGTCACACCCAAGCCAGGGTCCATGATAAGAACGTCCATATCCCTATTAACAAAAGGAGACTTTACTAATTTCCAGATTCACTCAAATCTCAGACTAGAGTTGCTGCATCTGTCCAGCCTTTTCAGATGACAACTGAGGCAGCCAAGGGATGGCCTTAGCTCGTTACCAGACCCCCAGCTTTTTGTGTAATGGAAGAGGGAAATAAAACAGAAGTGGTTCTGATCTCAGCTGAACCTGGACAAAGCCTGAGCGACTGAACTGAAGTCAATAAATTTGCTCCATGCTGGGAGCTCTTTAAATGAGGTACAAATCTAGACCAGTATGTTTAGCTGGCATTCAGGAAATATCTTTAATTCTGCTTTATCTTCTTTCTGCTTTATCCCTCTCTAAGCTCATTATATGAATGTATTCAAACTTTTTTATTATTAAAGCTGGTCAGTTTAACCCAGATTAAGGATGTAACCAGCACACTTCAAAAAGTAAACATAAAGGAACAGATTTTTTCAGCCGAGATCAACTCTTCCTTAGCCAGGAAAAAAAACAAATGAACAGATTTTCAGAGATCTTAGGTACTGACTCCTGAAAATCTGGCCCCACATATTTCAGAATCTTGGGTTACTGCTTTTTCTTGTCTCTTGTGGTAGATGACAGGTGAAGTCAGGCCAAGATCATCCATTTGCATTTGGAAAGAATGTGCCCTTTTTCTCATTTAGCTACGCCGGTGTTAGATGCATCTAATTTTATGGGGTGTGATGTATGTGTTGGAACAGTACTGAAAATACTGATAAATATAAGTTGACTGTGGAATTCCTTTGTGTTAGAAACAAAATCCCCAGTAACTTAAATGGCAAGAGCATAAGGTTTTTTTTCTATGAACTACAATGAAAGTTCTGAGACATTAAATTTTAGGTAACAAAATGTAGATAACTTTTTTCCTAGTGAATTAAAATCACATTAATAATTAAATATTAATTAAATAGCATAGGCAGCATCGCTTTATGACATAAACTTATGTGGCTCTATGTTTTATGCTTACTTAATGAGAAACAAATTATTGTTCACTTCATTCTGGTTTTTATCTTTCAACACTAAATAGACCATGAAAACAACAGAAGCAATATACTTTTCCTTCAAGCAGATGGCCTCCCCCTTTCTCCTGTCTGAGGCTCATAGTGGAGACAATTTCAAAGCTCTCTCTCACCGCCCCTAACTTAGAGGATTCCCAGCACTTGTAAGGAAAGGGATTATGTTCATCACTTGTTCGATCTCCAGGTCAGAACACCAGTTTTTAGGAAAAGATTTGCAAGTTTCTGCATTGTGTTTTCTTGAGAGATGCTGAGAACACTGCCCTGGGGCAGCACCTATAAGAGGCCTGAAACTATCCCTCTAATAACTCAGAACGATCTTTCTTTGACGTGTCTTTGGGAAGATCTCTAACGATATGAACAAACGTGCTTGCTAGGCGAATCACACCTCTGCACGGGTGCTTTCTCCATTCCACTTTAGCCTGGGTGGTACTCAGTGTATGGATTGCCATGGCAATCCACATCTTGAAAAATGTCCATTCAATTCTCACTGCACTGTGTGACACCAAGATTGTATTCCCCTCTTAGACATTCGTAACAGTGTAATCAGAGTGAAAATTGTTTTAAAGCCTACATTGGAACAATTCATTCTTTTCTGTACTAAATTTCATGCCTTTATCAAGTTGTAAATTCTGATGCCTGCAGTATTTGAAATTCAGGACATGAAAAATTAAAACTTCTAGGTACAGAAATAATCCCAATGAATGAATTTGTCTGCTTAAAAATAATATGTTCTAGAAATGCAATCATTGGTTTTAACAAACACATATCAAATACTTTAGGAAAAAAATACTCACGTTTAAGTATATTTCTTCTTTCTAGCTCCTCAACAGCAGGTCTTTGGCTGAGTCGCCTGCGGAAAAACACCAAAATCACATTTTGTACCATGCCTGTTCTTTGGAAAGTCCGCAGTATTCTGAGTTCTGGTTGGTGTTTCCCTCAGGGAGGGGACTGCAAAATCCCTCACCAGGAATAAAAAAAAATACACGAATCCTGGCACCAGAATGCTTTCTTCTTTTATTTTTCTCAAATGTCAGCAATGCAGGTAGAAGTTCTCCTCTAGTTTGCTCTGCTGTCAGTGCAATGCTTCCTCAGAACGTGCATCCTTTTCAGCATACTTTCCAGACAGTCAGTTGGAACCAGTGCTCTCCAACAGTCAAATTCACTCTTGAGGAGGTGTTTAAGGTAGGTATCAAATGAGTTTCACAGTGATCTTCTGTAGCTATCGCTGCCTTTTAATCTCATGTAGCAGCGGGCTCCCTTTTTTCTAGTAACACCAGTGGTGCATCCTGACAAAATGCAGACTTGCCAGAAATAAAGCTTTCCTGTGATTCCCGACTACACATCTAACAGACCAATCCGGCAGCTCCCCTCCTGCCTGCTGGATAAAATTCGTGTGCTGCTCACAGCCTCACGCTGTCTGAACGGAGTGTCTTATGCAGTTCCACCTCCCCTTTTCAGTAGTGCTGCTTCAGGATTGAGTCTTCAAATCATATGATCAGTGCCACAGCGGTTTTATTCTGCATACTAAATGAGACTTCCCCACGAGACACTGCTAATATCTGCAGAGAATCTCAGGTAATTGAACCCTCCCCTAGGCAGATACACAGACGTGCTGCATTTGCTAGCTTTCAAGTAAGAATCCAGCAAGCAGATCGAAAAGAGTTTACGATGTTTTCTGGCTTGCGATCTGGCAACATTAAGGATTCTCATCGTCTCCTCTCCAGCAGATGTTGCCAAGCCAGAGATGAAGTTACAGAGACAAAGAAATACTCAGAGCAGGGACCACACCGCAAACCGCTGCCGCAATAGTTATCCCTCTACTGCTTATAGGAAATAAAGGAATGATTATAAAGTGATGCTATAACAAGATCTACATTTTATCAAATATACAAGAGATGAAAAAATGAAGTAACACCAGCAGAAAACTGAGATGATGAGCTCTTGTTCTTAGAAACACCTACAGCCTAACTGTCATTCTTCTGGATTTCTCTTTGGAGTAGTGAGTCAGATCAACCTAACATTTGTATCACCTAAGTTTTTTCTTCCACTCTCTGGATTTCTCTTTGGAGTAGTGAGTCAGATACTCCAGCAGTGGAAGTTGTAATAATCCAAACTGAAACAGGAATGATGCTGAAATGCCCTATTAAAAGCTTGAAATATGTATTTTTAATTCCTATTACCCTTGGACTCCTCCCTCCTCACTCATTTCCCTGTATATCTCAAAAACGCTACAACTCTGGCTAGGTTGTGTTTGAAAGAGATTAATGTGTGTTTTATAACATAAATCAGGCAAGAATGAGTTATTCGGAGAGCTTATCTGCGAATGAAAGGTCCAGCCGACCCGCTGCTCACATGCCTCTCTCTCAAGCCATTCTTAATTACAGCCCTTCCATGCGAGATTTGTAGATTCTCCCAGGATCTGTACATTCGATTTCAGAGGCCCCTTTTAAACTGGGGGATTAAAAGCCTAACAGAAATTATTACAGCAGTATGAGAATGCGTATGTATATGAATGCTCTGTATAGTTTGAGAGAGAGAGAGAGAGAGAGAGAGAGAGAGAGTTACAGTATGTGTGATGGTTAATTATTTAAAAGACCTTTTTCCCTTCTGGCTTTGATAAATTCATGGTAGGTGCCCCGAGACAACAACATATTTCTGTGCACACCCTCAGCTTTACCCACAACAGAAGGAAAAGGTGCAGATATACACAGGCATATACACGCATGAGAGGGTATTGCATTTTTTTCCAGAGTTTTTCAGAGATACGGACTGCACTTCTAAGATTTTTGTCACAGCCACGAAACTAGAAGTGGGCTTTTCCTCGAAATAAAACCCTAACAGGGTTTTGGGAAGCGGGGGTACAGTGAAGACGTCAAATACAGCAAGAGCCACGATCGAACAATGAGAAGTGGCAACACTACTGACACTGTTGCTACCAAGGTGTAGGAACAATTTGTTTCTAGCTGTTACACTAGTTTTTATGTCCAGGAGAAACCTCTCGCAGCCCTGGAAGCCCTTTTTCAGTTTGCTCTCTCTGCCGAGAGCCGTGCCACACGGTGGCTGGGCTCCGGGCGAAGGTGAGGGACCCCCGTGCCCCCGCCGAGCGCTGCGGGTGGTGACGAGGGGAACAGCGGAGAGCACGGCGCAGCCGGGAGCGAGGGCTGGTGGCACATCCCTGCCGAGCTGTGTAGAATAAATGGGACACGAGAGGTGCTTTCTGCAGGAGGGTCTTTTTTACGCCTGGGGAAGAGCGCGCCCGCGTGCGGAGAGCGCTG